GTTCTGTACTTGGTCCCCTTCTGTTCATCATCTACATCCTCCCAATTGGACAAATCCTCCGTCAACACCAACTCCAGTTCCACTGTTATGCTGATGACACACAGCTCTACCTCTCAACAAAATCAATTTCTCCAACCACACACTCCCAGCTCAGCACCTGCCTCACTGACATTAACATTTGGATCCAAAACAATTTTCTAAAACTTAACTGTGACAAATCGGAACTTATAATCATTGGCCCAAACTCACTTACCCGCTCAACCCAAGATTTGTATCTTACCATCGATGGCTCCATTGTCAACCCCTCCACTCACATCCGTAACCTTGGCATCATCCTCGACCCCACCCTCACTTTCCAACCAGGTCACAAAAAACGCTTTCTTCCATTTAAAGAACATCGCCCGCATCAGACCCATCCATGCCTTTATAACATCCCGACTGGATTACTGCAACAGCATACTTTTTGGATCACCTGCATTCATACTAAAAAAACTTCAATATGTCCAAAACTCAGCTGCCCGCTTGCTCACCTCCACCCGACGCTCCGACCACATCACCCCTATCCTCCATGACCTCCACTGGCTCCCCATCAAACACCGCATTGACTTTAAAATATTACTTTTCACTTTCAAAGCCCTCAACAACCTTGCCCCCCCCTACCTCTGTGACCTCATCCAACGACACACCCCCACCCGTCGCCTCAGGTCTGCTGAAGCTAACCTACTGCATCCCATCAGGACAAAGCTCCGGACCTGGGGTGACAGGGCCTTCGCTGCAGACCCCCCCCCCCCCACTCTGGAACCCCCTCCCCAGCCACGTCAGATCCGCCAACACTCTCACATCATTCAAACAATCCCTCAAAACTCACCTTTTCACTCTTGCCTTCAACTCCTAATCAACTAACCCCTTGCCCTTATTCCACCTAGCTTAGCACTTTCTACTTTTGTTGTTATTTTGTTTTACTTGCTTGTAAGCGCTTTGAGCACCAGGAAAAGCGCTTTATAAATGTAATGTATTATTATTATTATTATTATTTAGACGCTTCTTGTGAGACTTGTGTTTTGTTTCGGTAAAAATGGTTCGTATCGTCAGTTAGCTGAGTTTCTTCCCGTTAGGTGGGTATGACACATTCATAGTTTGTTAAAGGTTAAAGGTAGGGTAGGTACGTTTGAGAAACCGGCTCGAGATACGCTTTTTGTTATATTCCATGGAATGCTCTTAACATCCCGATAGCAATGAATATCTTAAGTGCTTTGACAAAAAATCCATTAAAAAATGTCATCTGTGGAAGCCGTATAGTACTGTAAAAAGCACGACCAATCATTTTAGCCGGCCCGGCTAAAATAACTGGATGGCCTACCTGCCTGTCAGCCTTCCATCTGTGCACAAACTTATCTCGTGCCCTCATTGGTCATGTGCGCGTTCGTGTGTGTTGGAGGAGGGGCTCTGTAAGGAAGTGGCAGATTTTCTCCGGTTGTGTATTTTCAAATTCTAGCGCACTCGAGCTGGTTTCTCCAAAATTACCTACCCCACCTTTAAATGATTATCTGAATCTTATATTTGCATTTCATTTTTCCTGTTAGAATGCCTTTCAAAATAAACAAGGCAGGGTTACATACTTTATTTAGATTTGTGATGAATGTTAAATTACACGGCTTAATTGAATACTCGATTCTGATTGGTTAATTTGGAGATTGCAGAGGTTGTTAATACTCGATAACACACCGCTGCCAAGCAAAATAGTGCCCGGTGGAATTGACGATCGTTTTTAAGTCAATATAATCATTTTCAATTGATATTGTGAGTCAAGTCGTTGGTTTGTTGAGTATGTGGCCGTGAAATAGGCGGATAATGTGCAGCGAGGCGGTCATTATTGAGACATATCACCCTTAAGAGTTGTATTCATTATCCCTTACTTAAAACACAAAGTCTACAACCCAAAGCAGAACTTAAAATATGATTTTAAGGAATCTTCTATTATCCAAAATCTAATATTGTGTCTTCCTTCACTCAGAGGGGAAGCTGTACTACGTCGGGCCGAAGAAGGAGGAGAAGAGGGAGGTGGTGATCGAGGCGGAGGAGGAAGAGGCAGATTTTTCCTCGACTGCCACTTCAACGACATCGGTCATCACCTCGGCCAGAAGAAGACCGTGCACCGAATCCAGAGCAAGTACTACTGGCTGGGGCATCATCAAGGACGTGGTGGACTGGGTACGTTCGTCTTTAATGCAGTGGTGCAGGAATGAGTCCTAAAACCAAGGGATGAGTCAGCATTGTATCCCTTCCTGTCCCCTGGTGTTGAAGTTTTTTCTGAATGTGTTTTAGGTTATTATCCTGAAATAAGGTCTGAGGTTGACACAAGCTGAAGAGATTTTCACTTTTAGTTTTACGACATAAAATACATCAGTAAATAACCCACTGTCGGTTGCTAACAAGTGTCTAAATGAGACGACTAAATGCCATCACGCCCAACATTAGCCACCTTTAGCTTAGCGGTGGTGACGTGAAGTCATGTGACCGTGCTGTAGTTCCTTTATAGCCCAACATTAGCCACATTTAGCTTAGCGGTGGAGACGTGAAGTCATGTGACCGCGCTGTAGTTCCTTCATAGCCCAACATTAGCCACCTTTAGCTTAGCGGTGGTGACGTGAAGTCATGTGACCGTGCTGTAGTTCCTTATAGCCTGTAGTTAGCTTTTTCCTTACAAAATCATAAAGTGGTGTTAATATGTGGAGATTATCTTGCTGAACTAAACATGTCAGTATCATAAACGTTTGTTTGACAAAGAGATTATTTTCTGCAATAATCCAAAATCCCATTGGACCAGGGAGATGCTGCCTTCAGGGTCCAACACCTGCTCTACTCTATGCCACTGTGACTTAATAGTTATATTAATATTTAACTTTGAACTGTGTCCTGTTTCAGATCAAAGTGTGTGACACCTGTCAGCACACAGAAAGGAGTAAAAACCTGGCCAGGACGGTCCGGCCCATTAAAGTGGACGCACCTTGGGAGATCGTTGGGATCGACATTATAGGTTTTTGCCTTAATTTAATTTCCTCAAATTATATTTATCTACTGTTTTATTTCTTACTAAATGTTACGTTGCCTTACCTTACCTTACCTCACCTTACCTTACCTCACCTTACCTTACCTCACCTTATCTTCCTCTTCCTCTTCCTCAGGGCCTTTCCCAGAGACGCAGCAGGGGAACTCTAACGTCATAGTGCTCATCGATTACTTCAGTAAATGGCCCGAAGCTTTTCCGGTTCAGAGGACGGACGCTCTCTCTGTCGCAAAATGTATTTCCAAATGCATATACAGGTAGATACACTTCACAAGATCACCTGTAATCACACTTTACCTGACCAGGTGTTTGAAGCCTCATTCATGATATGTGAATCTTAAAGAGGCCCTATTCTGTTTTTGGAGATTCTCCCTCTAGTACGAGAAAAATAAAGAGCTTTTTGAACATTAAAGCATGGAGACATGTCACATATTCAATGTGTCGCTATCTCAAAGCAAAGGTAATCCTCCAAAATATCCTAAACAATGCCCATATCCACAATAGGTTTTCCTGGTTTTAACCACATTCTAGTAATGCCATTCTTGCTAGCAGCACTCAGGGTTCAAAATAAATATTTTACTTTAGAGGAATCATCGAATATTAAGATTCAAAGTTAAATGGAAAGTCTATCTGAAAAACTTTTCGTAAAAGTCCATGATCTTCCTGCCAGAAAGGATTCAGTGATGTCCAAGACCAGAATACTGTGTATATATATAATCTGAAAATGATTCGCCTCGAGGCACCCACACTGTCTCCCATTTTCCTTCCCTTTCACATGTGTGTTTTTGTTAGAAAAATCTCACTCGTCACCGGCTTGGTCTTCAATATCAGGATCCATGTATTTATTATCCTCTCAAGAATGGAAGTAAAATCAGAAAAAAAATCTGACTTTTTCTAAAATGCAACCATCAGGACGCAGAAATAACAATATTTTTAACCTGAAATTAATCTCCTCTTCTTCTCTTTTCTTTCAGGTTTGGTGCCCCTAAAACAATAGTGTGCACGCAGAACGCTAACTTCTGTGATGAGGTGAGATTATTAAAATACTGTAAATAAATATTAAAGCACAGATGTAAACACCCATGCTGCTGTTTTCACAACATACGATGATACTTTATTATCAGATAAAGTCTGGAAGGTTTTTTGCATCACTGCAGGACCATTTGCAACTTAAAACAAGGATAAACATTAAGAGAAGAAACAGAGATTTCACATGACACTAAAATCACTGTATATCAGTATGGAGTGTCTCTACTTTAAAGAGTCCTCTCCTGCTGATGTTCAGGTGTATATCAGTATGTAGTTTCTCTACTTTAAAGAGTCCTCTCCTGCTGATGTTCAGGTGTATATCAGTATGTAGTGTCTCTACTTTAAAGAGTCCTCTCCTGCTGATGTTCAGGTGTATATCAGTATGTAGTGTCTCTACTTTAAAGAGTCCTCTCCTGCTGAGGTTCAGGTGTATATCAGTATGTAGTGTCTCTACTTTAAAGAGTCCTCTCCTGCTGATGTTCAGGTGTATATCAGTATGTAGTGTCTCTACTTTAAAGGAAACCTATCATGCTATATTTAAATGATATATTGTAGGGCCATACCTATATAAGGTATATTTATACGTTTCTGTTTTCAAAATACCAAACAGATCATGCATTTTTTTCATTTCACTCTATGTGCTGTTTGCTGTCTACGGGTCTGATTCTGCTGACCAAGCCCCCCTGCAGTATGTAGTGTCTCTACTTTAAAGAGTCCTCTCCTGCTGATGTTCAGGTGTATATCAGTATTTAGTGCCTCTACTTTCAATTGTCTGCTTTCATATTGTTTGTCTGTTCATTATTGTAACAAAAACTAAAAACAATAAAAACAAAGTTTAAAATATATATATATATATATATATATATGATACATGATACATGATACATGTTGATTGTCTGTGCAGGTGAGCGAGCGCCTGAGTGACAGGTGGAGCATCGTGCAGGCGGTGTCTCCTCTGGATCCGCCTCAGCTCAACCCTCTGCACGACGGCAGCTTCTCGCAGCTGAAAGAGGCCGTGGAGCAGATGGTGGCGGAGAAGCAGAGCCAATGGGACGACTTCCTGGACCCGGTGCTGTTTCTGTTCAGAACGTCCAGCAACCCCACCACCAAGTTCAGCCCCTACTCCCTCATGTTCAGCAGGAAGCCTGACCTGCCCAACCAGTTGGGCAGAGAAAAGATAAGAAGTCAAAGTCAACTTTATTGTCAATCTCAAAATATGTTTGTAAGAAGTACTTTATTGATCCCAATGTGGGAAATGTTTGTGTTGCAGCAGCATAAAAAGACATGGCATTGTACAGTAAAAATTAAAAGACTAGAAATAAACACGAAAGTAGAAAATATACATGTTGAATTTACAAATTGACAATAACAAGATATAAAGCAAGTTATTATATTTACAAAGTATGTGACGGATGGAATATTACATATTAAATATCCGTTGGGAATCCATTGTTCAGAGAAGAGAAACATAGTTGAATCAGAATCAGAATATTACCAGGTACGAGGAATTTGACTTGATGTCATAATAATAATAATAAAGCTTTATTTATAGCACTTTTCATACAACACATGCAGCTCAGAGGGGATGTGGCTGAGGTAATGTGAACTCGGAAATGTTGAGAACCCCAAAGTTTTATGTTATAAATGTACGTGTCCCCAGAACATAGAAAACTGCATATGTTGGTGAATTTGCACAATTAGCACAAGTTGCATTTATTAGCATTATAGCCTACATGTATGCAGACAATAGTTAAAATATGTCTTGGCTGATTTGGTACATTTTGGAGTTTTTTTTTGTTTTGAAGATGCTGAATCCATTTCTGGTTTTAAAAAAAAGGCAGTTTTAACAACAATATATGATATCCCTATTTGTACTCTAGTTGGCTGAATTTGATTACTTTTGGGTCGATTTGGAAGATTTTGAGGACTTGGATTGGACAGATTGCTTATTTATAAAATGAAAAACAACACAGTAGGGATAACACATTTTATGTTGTGCTCTCTATATCCATTTCAGGACCCAAAATGGCAGTTTAAACCAGAACGTGGCCATGTTTGTACTCTCTGTGGCACCACCATGACTAGTGTTGCAACCATTGGATACAGAGAGCACCAGATCAACATTATTACCTCTACTGTGGACAATTTATTTTCAAACATATAAGCAATCTGTCCAACCCAAACGATCCAGCATCCACTAAATCCTCAAAATCAACCCAAAATTAATTGAAATCAGCCCACAGAAGACAAATATGGTAATTTCTGGTAAAAACTGCCATTTATGATCCTGAAAATGTTAGACATAGATTCAACATCTTCAATAACCCCCCAAACCACTCATAAACTGTCCAAATCGGCCAAGCCATCTTTGAACTAATGCTAATTAATGCAACTTGTATTAATTGTGCAAATTGCCCAACATATGGAAGTTTATATCCGGCAGTTTCTATGTGCTGGGGACCCCTAGTATACATTTCTGTCATAAAACTGTGCGGTAATCAACAGGGTTATGAGTAGACAACTACTATGTGGTACGCAGTGGCGTTTTTATATGTACAAAAGTGGTGGGGCACAAAAAACTTAGATGTCTATATATAAGCTTCTGCAGTGACGTGCAGTGAGGTTCATGGCTGGTGAGGCACTGGCACTGACTCTTCAGGTTTACAAATATTATATTTTGACCTAAACCAAAATATAATATTATTTTCAAAAGCTTTTTTTGTCTGATGCTTCGATTCATTTTAAACAGACAGTTCAACAAAAGGATACCCAAAAAATGTAATTTTATCATTTAAATATTGAATTGTTCTCTCTTAGTAAGATCCCATTTTCAATAAAATGGCGGTCTTACCTTGACTTGAAGATGAAGTCCATTTGTCTATCCTTCTGGACAAACATTTCTATTACTTTTTTGTAAAAGTCCTCCTTATCTTCTTGTAGTTTCAAAAGTCTATCATAAATCTAATCCATAGATTTATGATAAAAAAATGATAAAAGTAGGGTAGACATGTGGATATTATCCGGCTAATCAAAACGTGCATTTATCTAACAGGTACGTTTCCCACAGATCTTATTTTGAGCTATTTTCTAAAATCCTCTGGAGAAATCTCATTGCTTTTTTGTGCTTACTTCCTGGTTTTAGGACGCGCCACTGCAGCTCTCTCGTCTCCTCTTCACACAGCACACTTTTCGCGGCACACGTACTTACAGCCAATCAGCTCTGAATGATTTGAGATGACGTATGGTGGGGATGGTAGCTCCGTGCCCCTCTGGTCATTATTTTTTTGCCACACACATTACATTACAAAATACTCTGAGCATGCGCAGTGTAGTTTTTACAGTCACCGTTGACTTCACAGCGAGAGGAAGGGGCATAATCAGGTTTTGTCCCACATGGCTCTAAACAGCTCAATAGGCACACACTGTGACTGTAGACACACTAATTAGAAGAACACAGACTAAAACAGCAATGTACAGACGAATCAGATGATTAAACATGATCTTAAAATATATTTTATATATTTTTTTATTTATTTTTTTGCATTTTTGTAATCATTATTTGTAATACTTTTCTGCTGACACTAGGTGGGGCTGTGCCCCACCTGCCCCCTAATGACCAGTCGCCACTGGTGGTACGTTTCCTCGCTCTAATTGAACGTGTTTCCTCCAGACGACGTTGAGCCTGCTGAGTTACCACGACCAGGAGCAGGATGAGTTCTCCACGACGGAGAAGGCCTCCTCGTTTCTGAGCGCAATGCAGGAGCAGCAGAACTCTGTGAAGCAGCTGGTGAGTTATTTTGCACTATTTGTTTTAACCATTGTCTTTATTAAATGTCACCTATTATGCAAAATCCACTTCTTCATGTCTCTTCTACATCAACATGTGTCCCCTCTTCTTCATGTCTCCTCTACATCAACATGTCCCCTCTTCTTCATGTCTCTTCTACATCAACATGTGTCCCCTCTTCTTCATGTCTCCTCTACATCAACATGTCCCCTCTTCTTCATGTCTCTTCTACATCAACATGTGTCCCCTCTTCTTCATGTCTCTTCTTCATCAACATGTGTCCCCTCTTCTTCATGTCTCTTCTACATCAACATGTGTCCCCTCTTCTTCATGTCTCTTCTACATCAACATGTGTCCCCTCTTCTTCATGTCTCTTCTACATCAACATGTGTCCCCTCTTCTTCATGTCTCTTCTACATCAACATGTGTCCCCTCTTCTTCATGTCTCTTCTACATCAACATGTGTCCCCTCTTCTTCATGTCTCTTCTTCATCAACATGTGTCCCCTCTGTGGAAAGAGACTCTGAAAGTTTCAGGAAAAAAGATTCTCTCTCTTTTTGTCCTGATCCATTTTTATAAAAACCTGTCTGAAAATGAGCTGATCAGATGTTGGCCACTTTGTGATGTCATAACGATTTTTTGGCTTGTGTAACCATTAGCCAATCACCAACCAAGGTAACCCCCCCCCTTATCACCTGAATGTCCTCCTAGAGCACCATTGTGTTCTTTTTAACCAAATCTCTCTCAGAGGGGCGTGGGGAGGGGCTCCTTATTTTCATCTAAAGTAACAGACAGAGAATCAGCACTTTGGAAACACGAAACAGAGGGGATTATGGGATAATATTTATAAAGAAAGAAACAGAAGGGAGGAAATCATGATAGCTAGACTCAGACTAAATCACACAGCATTGAATGGTACTCTGTATGTCATGGGGAAAAGTGACAGTGACAAGTGTGGGAGCTGTGGAGTTAAAGAACATGTGGAACATATCTTATTACATTGTGACATCTATAAAGCTGAAAGAGAAAAACTAAAGGGTAAAGTGATAGAGGCAGAGAGGGAATGGAGTGTGGTTGGTATTCTGGGAACAGAAGGAGAGGGAGGAAGAGCTACCAGAAAGGCACTGTTTACCTTTCTGAGGGAAACTGGGGTAGGACAAATAATGTAACATTAGGTTAGAATAGATCATGGATTGTTGTTTTGTTTTGTTTTATTTATTCTATGGTTTCTTATTTTATTTTTCGTTATTTTGTTTTATTAGAGATGGAATGACATGATAATACACACTCATGTACAGTAGGTGGCGGTATGCACCCTAAAGTTGTTTGCAATCCGCCATAAACCGAGAGAAGAAGAAGCTCTTTCTAACCTGGATCCATGTGGCGTCTCGTCGCTACGGTTCTCTCTCTCTCTGTGTTCCTGATAAAGCGTTTGTGAGCTCCAGCACTACTGATCCATCATCTGTGTGTCTGGATAAACCTCCGAATAGACTCTGTGCTCTTTTTTCTGGAGCGTTTACCTCGGACTATAGGAGCTAGCTTAGCATGCTAGCTGGAAACACGTTAGCAACACTAGTCAGATTGAGAGTTTGGTGAAGAGAGAAACGGTGTGTTTAACGGAGTTTGCAGGAAAAGGTGATCTAGTAAACATGAGTAAAGTCCAAATGCTGCTGTCGTTGAAGAAGCAGCGACTCACTGCTGCTGCTGAAGAGATATTTGCTCTGTTTGAAAAAAGGATAGCAGAGCTCGAGGAGGAGCTGTCTCTTTCCAAAGAGGAGCTGTCTCTTTCCAAAGAGGAGAACGAGAGACTCCAGAAACTACCGGACGCTGTTTTACAGCCTCAGCTTCGCATACACAGAGCAGGTCTGTTCCCTTTACTGTTCATTAACACTTTAAAGCAGAGGTGTCCAAACTACGGCCCGGGGGCCAAATGCGGCCCGCTGGCCATTTTGAATTGGCCCTCAGCTAATTCAAAAAGTATAATGAAATATGGCCCACAAATGAAACTTTTGCTTTTCTTATATTGTACTTCTTAAATATATATGTACAGATATATTACACAGTAGTATTCATGTGTTAATAAGCCCACTTTTAAATTAAATTCAGTCAATTCATGTTGATAACATTTTCTAACAAATCTTAGTTGATACAAAAAGCCTAATAACTTATTTACATAACAAGCTTGAAATAGACCTTTCATATTTCATCTTATTATAATCACTCTGAGACTTCTGTTTTTAAGGGATGAGCTGCCAACAAGATAAATGAAACCCTACAGAGAGCTGTGATGTAGGCGGTGTTTTTCTTAAAGCATATTCATGTATCGAGCCTAATTTACCTACATGTTGCTAACTTATAACTTAAAGTGGACCTATCATGCTATATTTAAATGATATATTTTTGGGCCATACCTATATAAGGTATATTTATACGTTTCTGTTTTCAAAATTCCAAACAGATCATGCATTTTAGCCATGCCTCATTTCGCTCTATTTGCTGTTTGCTGTCTACGGGGCTGATTCTGTGAGCTGCAGCTGACCACGCCCCCCTGCAGGAGAGGGGAGCCGTGCTCTGATGAAGTCAGAAGAGGGGGAGAAAAATAGATCTCCGTCCTCCATGTTATTATAGGCCTTTTGAGTCGTTATTCATTTGTTTTAAAGCTCAATAAATCACAAAGAAGACCTTTGACCGGCACTTTTCTAATTTTGTCCGGAAGATTTAAACTTTAACGGACATCTTGACCGGCGAAAGAAAACCTAACTGAAACTCTGCCGCACGGTCCCCTCGTTCCTTGGAAGAGGCGGAGAGGTGGGTGTTTGTCATCTGCTGGTGGACTAACCGGAGAGAATTACAGTGCTTGCCTCGACGGGGGGGGATTGCATTGAATTAAAGCAGCGGGAGCAAACGCTTGCCTCGGGGAGGGAGAAAAAAAGCCACAGCGGAGAATAAACAGAAGGGTAACCATGGTTACCATATGCGCGGGAAGTCTTCTTCGCTGCTTTTGTGGCAGACTACAGCGCCACTTACAGGCCTGGCATATGTACTACAGCGTCTCCAGCGCTTTCGAACTGCAATGGCCGGCCGTGGCCCAACCCCACATTCCCCTGATTGGTGGAGAGTTGGCCCAATAGCCGTAGCGCCACTTTACTGACGTCGGTGAAGTGTTCAAATCTGGATCAGTTTTTATCAGATCCGTTGCAGCCCCTTTTTTAGAGATTTGGGTATGGAGGAAAATAGAGAGGGTTGTGTTTTCTGACACTTGGTGAGTTCCCTGGAACACCGGGGACACATATTCATGTATAAAAGACGTACAAAAGTGCATTTTGCATGATAGGTCCCCTTTAACTGATGAGGCAATATACCTCACCTTTATGAGTGCACCAGCCCTTCGTATGTTTTTCTGTATGTGTCCCTCGGTGAAAAAGGTTTGGACAGCCCTGCTTTAAACTCTTTTGGTAACACGTTAAACAATTTGGTAACACTTCTGACTGTTTATTATTGCTGGGCAACGATTAAACATTTTAATTTTCTGCGATTAATTTCATTGTTATGCACTAGGGGTGTAACGGTTCACAAACATTTCGGTTCGGTACGTACCTCGGTTTTTAGGTCACGGTTCGGTACATTTTCGGTACAGCAGAAAAAATGATCACAAAACATAAAATATCTTTTTGGGGTTTTTAATTATTATTAAACTGTGAATAATGTATTCACAAATACAAAATATGATAAAATAGACATTAAGGTGCAGCATTTCGATGAACTGAAATAATCTGTATTTGAACTGTACTGTACTAGTACCTAAGCAGCCAGCTTGACATTAGGACTTGCTTGCTTGTCATTGTATTTTCATGTTTTTTTAAAGAAAAATTAACTTGTCCACATTGCTTGCCGAAAGGGCAGATCTGCTGGCACTAACAATGTCTCCTGCTGTGGAGAACACCCTCTCGCTAGGGACAGAGGTAGCAGATACAGCCAGATAGCGCTTTGCTAACATGGCAACATAAGGATATTTGGCGTTTTTGTAATAGCTTTGGCTCGGTCTGAACTTTTTGCGAGTGGTGGAGGCTTAATTGCTAGTGGGAGTTGAGTTTGCACTTCAGTCTTTTTTCTTTTGGTACCGGTGATATTCACGTTCGGGGGATGCCTTTTCAAATGAGTGTGCATGTTTGATGTATTGCCAGCCGCGTAACCAATTTTAGTTGAACAATGCCGACAAACAGCTTTGGTTCGGTCCACCTGTCTTTGTCCGTCATCCTTGTACGTAACTGCAAAACCAAAATGTTCCCAAACCGGAGACTTCAATGATGCTGGAGGATTTTCGAGCTCAACTTTATTTGCGTTCGCCATTTCGACAGTTCCTCAAATTACTGACTACATTTGAACGTATCCCTGTGACCAGCTCTCATAGTATGCCTCTCGTCCAATGATATGACTTAGTTGCTCTATGACGTGTTGAACCCAATGTGAGCAAATTACACTGAATGCTGCGTCACAGCACCTGAGATTACTTCCAAAAAGTTGTTCACGTTCTCAATTTTTTACGTTTAACGTCATATTCGCTCGGTACACTTCGGTACACTTCGGTACACACGTGTACCGAACCGAAGGGCTCATACAGAATAATTTTGGTACAAATACGTATACTGTTACACCCCTATTATGCACACATTTCAATAATGAATTCAAAAGTAGTGTTTTGCTTACTTTTATTTTGACAAGTCTGCAGAAAAGACGGCAGGCGAAAAACACCGACACCTCCTCATCACTCCACCGCTCCCATGTTTTTTTTTTGTGTTGCCATAAGTTATTCTCTCTCCGTTGGTGCGCGGGGCTAATGCACTTGTGCGTTAGCATTTTTTCGCTCAGGGGTCATTTAGACGCTTCTTATGAGACTTGTGTTTTTGTTTTGGTAAAAATGGTTCGTACTGTCAGTTAGCTGAGTTTATTCCCGTTAATCTGGTATGACACATTAACCTGTTCCACTCTGAGCCTGTTTT